AAGAAATCCACTCGATCGACCGTATCATCACTATGAACAATGATGAGACTGTCTAGTCACTTTCGGGACGTTCAGCACATTGCAACGCACGTGTTGATATACAAAACAGTATCATACAGTGAAGTGGTCGTGCTGTGGATTTAAAATACCGCAAAAACATGTATTTCGACAATATCTCTTCGCGCACACGCAAACACACGTTGCAAAAATCATATCAATGTACTTTAGAATATTCTGCATCGATTGATGTATCATACACGGTAGTACAAGCAATATTATGATATGAAAAGCATAAATCAAAACAATGCGGAGCTTGACCCTCGAAAAAAACCGTTTGTACCAAAGGGGGGACCATGCTAGATTTCAAAATCGAAAGTCTAAACCTTAAGCCACCCCCCTCGATTTCGGCAAAGTGTGAAGAAATCCACTCGATCGACCGTATCATCACTATGAACAATGATGAGACTGTCTAGTCACTTTCGGGACGTTCAGCACATTGCAACGCACGTTTTGATATACAAAACAGTATCATACAGAGAAGTGGTCGTGCTGTGGATTTAAAATACCGCAAAAACATGTATTTCGACAATATCTCTTCGCGCACACGCAAACACACGTTGCAAAAATCATATCAATGTACTTTAGAATATTCTGCATCGATTGATGTATCATACACGGTAGTACAAGCAATATTATGATATGAAAAGCATAAATCAAAACAATGCGGAGCTTGACCCTCGAAAAAAACCGTTTGTACCAAAGGGGGGACCATGCTAGATTTCAAAATCGAAAGTCTAAACCTTAAGCCACCCCCCTCGATTTCGGCAAAGTGTGAAGAAATCCACTCGATAGACCGTATCATCACTATGAACAATGATGAGACTGTCTAGTCACTTTCGGGACGTTCAGCACATTGCAACGCACGTTTTGATATACAAAACAGTATCATACAGTGAAGTGGTCGTGCTGTGGATTTAAAATACCGCAAAAACATGTATTTCGACAATATCTCTTCGCGCACACGCAAACACACGTTGCAAAAATCATATCAATGTACTTTAGAATATTCTGCATCGATTGATGTATCATACACGGTAGTACAAGCAATATTATGATATGAAAAGCATAAATCAAAACAATGCGGAGCTTGACCCTCGAAAAAAACCGTTTGTACCAAAGGGGGGACCATGCTAGATTTCAAAATCGAAAGTCTAAACCTTAAGCCACCCCCCTCGATTTCGGCAAAGTGTGAAGAAATCCACTCGATCGACCGTATCACCACTATGAACAATGATGAGACTGTCTAGTCACTTTCGGGACGTTCAGCACATTGCAACGCACGTTTTGATATACAAAACAGTATCATACAGTGAAGTGGTCGTGCTGTGGATTTAAAATACCGCAAAAACATGTATTTCGACAATATCTCTTCGCGCACACGCAAACACACGTTGCAAAAATCATATCAATGTACTTTAGAATATTCTGCATCGATTGATGTATCATACACGGTAGTACAAGCAATATTATGATATGAAAAGCATAAATCAAAACAATGCGGAGCTTGACCCTCGAAAAAAACCGTTTGTACCAAAGGGGGGACCATGCTAGATTTCAAAATCGAAAGTCTAAACCTTAAGCCACCCCCCTCGATTTCGGCAAAGTGTGAAGAAATCCACTCGATCGACCGTATCATCACTATGATCAATGATGAGACTGTCTAGTCACTTTCGGGACGTTCAGCACATTGCAACGCACGTTTTGATATACAAAACAGTATCATACAGTGAAGTGGTCGTGCTGTGGATTTAAAATACCGCAAAAACATGTATTTCGACAATATCTCTTCGCGCACACGCAAACACACGTTGCAAAAATCATATCAATGTACTTTAGAATATTCTGCATCGATTGATGTATCATACACGGTAGTACAAGCAATATTATGATATGAAAAGCATAAATCAAAACAATGCGGAGCTTGACCCTCGAAAAAAACCGTTTGTACCAAAGGGGGGACCATGCTAGATTTCAAAATCGAAAGTCTAAACCTTAAGCCACCCTCGATTTTTTCTAAGTGTGAGGGTGAAGTCGATTTTTTCTAAGTGTGAAAACGGTCGATTTTTTCTAAGTGTGAAGATATATTCGATCGACCATATCATCACTATGAACAATGATGAGACTGTCTAGTCACTTTCGGGACGTTCAGCACATTGCAGCGCACGTTTTGATATACAAAACAGTATCATACACGGTAGTACAAGCAATATTATGATATGAAAAGCATAAATCAAAACAATGCGGAGCTTGACCCTCGAAAAAAACCGTTTGTACCAAAGGGGGGACCATGATAGATTTCAAAATCGAGGGTGAAAATCGACCGAAAAAAGTTAGAGTCCCCATTTTTGGGTCCGGATCAAAAGTCGAAGAATATATCTCCGCATGTATTGGATAAAGAATTCTACAAAAATGTTGATAATTATATTCAGAACGTCAGCTTTCATTTGGTACCACCATCGTGGAAAAGTATTCATTACATGACATCTTATGATTTTTGTACGAAAAAGTACTATAAACATACATTTATTTTTTTTCGTGATTATCGATACATCTAATTCAACATACCATCGTATAGAGCGATTTTTGCTTGTGATTGTCATGATTTTTGCGAGGAAAAACGTTGAATATTATGATATGAAAAAGTCGAAATAATCGAAATGCGGAGCTCGACCCTCGAAAAAAACCGTTTGTACCAAAGGGGGGACTGCCAACACCATATATATGGGGGGGTCGAGGTCCAGATGAGGGGGTATACATGTATGCATGGTACGTATATTCCCATTGAGGCTGTATCTCGTATGCGGGTGCTGTGTCCAATGGGGTTTTTGAGCAGGGGGCCATCTCTCCACCTTCTGCTGTCTCTTTGGGGACACCATGCGCTTCGGCGCGCTTTTGGGGTGTAATGGTGGATTTTGGGGTGTAGTGGTGGAATTTGGGGTGTAGTGGTGGATTTTGGGGTGTAGTGGTGGAATTTGGGGTGTAATGGAGGATTTAAGGGGGTGCGGGGTACAGGTGAAATAGGTAATACATAGCCTATTCATTCTGGTTGATCCCGTATTTTCTATGTAATTTTGCCAATAGGGTTGGGGTGTAGCGGTGGATTTAAGAGGGGTCAGGGTACGGGGTACAGGTGAAATAGGTGATACATAGCCTATTCATTCTGGTTGATCCCGTATTTTGTATGTATTCTGCCAATGGGGTTATGGTTTCTATAGAGGTGACTCCTTGCCAAATTCTATAGGATCGTTTTGTTTTTGTTAGTTATTATTCGTTTCTATGCACGGAAGCAGAGAGAACCCTTTCAGTATCTGGGGTAGTATCCTTCTCCGTAATAGTAGCAATTCCTCTAAGAGAGGGTAGGGGGTAAAGATGGTTATATAGCTCTATTTTTTCATTAAAATATCTATATAATTTTGATTGGTCGTCCTATTTTTCTTTTAGGGAGTGTATTATTCTAAAGGGTAGGGGGTAAAGATGGTTATATAGCTCTATTTTTTCATTAAAGTATCTATATAATTTTGATTGGTCGTCCTATTTTTTTTAGTATAGTACAAAGCGATGGTTATTATAAATAATAACCAAAGCATTCGTTTCCACCTTCCAAACACTATATATTTATATGTATGATGGGAGAGATGCCAAATAGGGAGGGGTTAGCAATAACCCTTTTTACGTCTCTGACGGGAATATTTTGCCAAAAGGGTTTTTCGATACTATATGTATCTCTTATTCCTAAAAGCTGTACGTGAAAGTAGATATAGTATTCCTACTCTTGACGAGTATGTTAGCCATAGACCTAGGGGGGATTGATATATTAAAAAATAAAAAAAAATCAAACGGGGATTTTAATTTTGAAAAAGGGAGATAAGAAAATATAGTTTACCTTTCATTATTGATAGTGATTGAATTATCAATGCAAGTAGGTCCGTCTTATTCATTTAATGCGGAGAAAAGGATGGAAGGTCCTCTTTATTTATTGGGGTATCGTATTATATTGTTAACTAAGTAGGTCCCGAGTCTTTTCATTAAGACGATGACGGAGATAAGAGATAGAGTTTACTTTTTTCATTATTGATAGTATTTATATTATCAATGCAAGTAGGTCCGTCCTATCCATTTAGGCGGAGAAGAGGATGAAGAAGGTCGTCTTTATTGTTAATGATATCGTATTATATTTCGATGCAAGTAGGTCCTTATAATAGAGGTTATTTCACCAATAAGCCAAACGGGGAATATATCATGAAGCTTTACTATATGCATTGAGTGTCTCGATAGTCGTATTATATTCTACCTAATTTACAGTAATAACGAGTAATATACATCGTAGAGAAAATAAAATTTATATGATTCCCATAGTCTTTTTAAACCGTCTCTGGTTAGTTTCCCACGCTTTGGGACTAACGCTCTTTTATCCATCAAAAGAGTACGGTATTTTTTACCATATTTTGTCTAATACATTAATTATAATGTATATTGAACTTGTAAAACTTATTCTCGAATCCTTGATAGCGACCAGTAAATTTCTTTTTGCCTATGTACTTCGGGTATAGATGACGGCATAAAAAGGGGGGTTTACTTTTTAACTTTCAAGATTCGTTTGATCCAAAAGGGGATAGTGTTACACCGCCGCTTAGTAAGTCTTGTTGACGGGGGAGGGTAGAGAAGGTATTATAACGTTTACTCTAATAATATTCTTTTTTTATTCAAACTTAAGAGAGACCCAAGACCCGTGATTTAACGTTGTATATTATTATTATTTTGATGGAAAGTACTCCAGGAAATATAAAAAAAAAAGTACTAAATTTATTAAAAGGGGAAGAGGAGAGGGGGTAAGATATCGTATGTTAGAAATTTTTTTAATTTTTAACCTCTCATGTTATACTTAGTCATTATCGGTTGCCCTTTTAATAACTAAAAAGTATTTAAATATTCCTGGGGTAAACCTGGTTGATCCTGCCAGTAGTCATATGCTCGTCTCAAAGATTAAGCCATGCATGTCTAAGTATAAATATTTCAAATTAAAACTGCGAACGGCTCATTAAATCAGTTTAACTCTAAACAGCAATTCTTTTTTCGGATAACTGTAGTAATTCTAGAGCTAATACGTATGCAAAACATCCGCAAGGGTGTTTGCCGAGGGATTATAGGCTAAAATAATATGATTATACCCTCGATGCGAAACCTTCCATTGGAAGGTATGTTGTTTGATATTCTGCCCTATCAACTTTTGACGGTAGTGTCGTGGACTACCATGGTGATGACGGGTAACGGGGAATAAGGGTTCGATTCCGGAGAGGGGGCCTGAGAAATGGCCACCACTTCTAAGGAAGGCAGCAGGCGCGCAAATTACCCAATCTCAATTCGAGGAGGTAGTGACAAGAAATAGCAATGCCTTGGCTCTTAATGGGTCTGGCAATTGCAATGAGCATATATTAAAACTCTTAACGAGGAACAATTGGAGGGCAAGTCTGGTGCCAGCAGCCGCGGTAATTCCAGCTCCAATAGCGTATATTAAATTTGTTGCAGTTAAAAAGCTCGTAGTCTATGTTGAAACTTTTCGATCTGTTTAAAGTGCTTTCTTCATGGAAGTATCTTTTAAGCTACGAATTGTTTTATAGAACCTCCTAACGATGGCTATTAAGTTAGTGTCGCTTTAAATTGGAGGTTTCTACCTTGAGTAAAATAGAGTGTTTAAAGCATACAGTTTTGTATGAATATATTAGCATGGGATAGTAATAATGATTAGAGTTTGTCAATCTATTCATTAGTGGTTAATAGGAGCAGTCGGGGGCGTTCATATTCAGTGGTCAGAGGTGAAATTCTTGGATTCACTGAGGATGAACAGATGCGAAAGCGTTCGCCAAGGATGTTTTCATTGATCAAGAACGAAAGTTAGGGGATCGAAGATGATCAGATACCGTCGTAGTCCTAACCGTAAACTATGCCGACCGAGAATCGGAGGATGTTAAATGAATGACTCCCCGGAACTCATAGAGAAATCTTGAGTCTTTGGGTTCTGGGGGGAGTATGGTCGCAAGGCTGAAACTTAAAGGAATTGACGGAAGGGCACACCAGAAGTGGAGCCTGCGGCTTAATTTGACTCAACACGGGAAATCTCACCAGGTCCGGACATTAGAATGAATGACAAGTTAAAGCCTTTTCATGATTTGATGGGTGGTGGTGCATGGCCGTTCTTAGTTGGTGGATTGATTTGTCTGCTTAATTGCGATAACGAACGAGACCCCCTTTTACTAAATAGAAAATACATAACATAAATGTTGAAAGCGGGGACCACGAAAGTAGTTTACTACCTAGTGCAACCGTCGGAAACTGTGGATAATGTATTGAGCTTCTTAGAAAGAATAAAGCTAAAACTTAAACATATATATTACTCGGGGCAATAACAGGTCAGTGATGCCCTTAGATGTTCTGGGCCGCACGCGCGCTACAATGACAAAATGGAAAAGGTTACTAGATTTAACGGTTTCGGTTAATCCAGTAATCTTTCCCATAACCGGGATTGGTGGTTGCAATTATCCGCCATGAACGAGGAATTTCTAGTAGGTATGGTTCACTAAACCATGCCGATTACGTCCCTGCCCTTTGTACACACCGCCCGTCGCTTCTACCGATTGAATGGTTCGGTGAAATCCTCGGACTAGAATTCATATTAGGGCAACCTGATCTGTATTTTAGGATGAGGAGTAAA